TACGTATGTACATACATACATACACATACCTACCTACCTACATACATACATACATACATACATACATACATACATACATACATAAAAAAGCATGTACTTACACATGTTATGTGCGGGTACATACATATGGTACATGTCTATATGTACATATGTATATGTACGTTTATACAGTCATAAGGGCACAATCTATATCCTATTCAGCCTCAAGCCCTGGATGTCCTGAAGCTTAAAACTCTCGACGGATCGGGATGTGCGTGGTTCTCTAAATTAGGACCCTTTTAGGTCCCCAATATAGTACGGCACCCTTACAAAAAAAAGACTTTAAGAGGGACCCGTGCAAGGTCTATGTTCATCGCAGGTCTGATTATTCAGGTCCTACCTTGACCCACCAAAACCCGTGGGTTCTTATTACAGACCCTAATATCGGATTTATAGGGACCCTACAAAAAAGTAGGTTTTGGTAGGTTGAGGTATATGACCTCTCACCAAGCGTCTTGTCTTGTGATCTTCGATGGTGGCTTCCTTCGTATCTGACTTGGGCGCACCCAGCATTCTGAAGGGCTCCTGCTTGCGACGATTTTACGGTTTAGGGGTTTAGGGTTCAAAGAGGGTCGCAATATGGAGGCCACAATAACAAGGATAGGGTTTAAAGGGTCTGACCCTGAAAAAAATATGCCGTACTCGTAGCAAAAGAAGCTGTGATGAATATACCCTAAACCCTAAACCCTAAACCCTAAACCCTGAACCCTGAAGCCTAAATCCTGAACCCTGAACCCTGAACCCTAAACCCTAAACTTACCGCAATCATTCAGATCCATTCGCCGCTTCATCGGACATGAGTTTAGCGAGGTTGCGGGCTAGCAGGGTTTGCAGATTCAGACTTAGGGGTCGACTTCGGGTTTAGAGTTTAGGGTTTAGGGTTTAGGGTTTAGGGTTTAGGGCCTAGGGTTTAGGGTTTAGAGTTTAAGGTTTCCTGAAGCCGAAGCTGAAACCAAAAGCACAATCTGCCCCAAACCAACAAATTGAGCTTGGGGGTCTTCAGCTTAAGGTCTCTGGTTTTAAGGTTTCGGGGCTTACCCAGTCGTTGTTGCCAGCATGAGACATGAGCTTGGAACGTTTCTTGCCGTGCTGCACAACACCACCTCGGCGGCTCACAGCTATTTCTGCTATTGCCTCATCCGCCATCCTGGCCTCGTCTTGCTGCCTGTAGGCAGCCTCCATGTCGAGCAGCTTCGCATCAGCAGCAACTCCGTCCAAGACAGCCAAAGGACCATGAGCCGAAATTGGAACAGAAACTAAGTCGGTCCCCAACAGCCGCGCAAAAAACAAAACAATGAAAGTTCAAACCGTCCTGAAACGCCACCAGCCCTTGTAGCCCTAATGCTTCAAATCCCAAAGCACCGAAAGATTGTAGCGCGGAGGGTCAAATTTTGGATGAACCCACATACCAGGCAAGGCCCGTGCCAAGTTACAATGAGAGTATCTTGCTTGGGATGCGTCTCATGAGCAAACCTACGTAAGAAACCAGACAAATGGTGAAACAAACAGCATTGCTACTCGATTATCGTAGGCGCAGGTTTCTGGGACACATTGCCGCAATCTATTGAGACTACGAGAGAATCTGAGTACAGTTCTGCAAATCACGGAACTACGTCGGGACGTCCAAGAAAGACTGGTCTAAGAGAATAGAAACAAAGGAACGAATAGTGCAGCAGCTTCATCTACGGGCTTCATACCTTAGCTGTGGGGTTTGGGTTATATTTGAATATGGGGTGTCAAAAGTAGCTTGCGCAGTTGGCTCCTTGGGAGCCCGAAAAAATACTCGTTCGTGCTATGCGGGCCTTGGTAATTGGGCTTTGTTGGAGGGGGGCCAGGGTGAATTCTCGTACAACTATATGGGAACCAAGAGGAAACTGTGGAAATTGCGGAGTTTGGGTTTGGGAGTGGCCCTGAATCGCTTGAAGACTGAAAACCCACTCAATCGAACGACAACACAGCAAACTCAACCATACTGTAACCTGCTAGTACCCGCTGCTCAATTGGTGGGAGTCTCAACCCAACCCTAAGCCCTAGCCCACAGACACACGCACACACACACACACACACACCCCTAAACCCTAAACCCTAAACCGTTGCAAAACACAAATCAGACTGTTGTCGTGTCGTCTCCTGCGGCACCAGGCTGCCTTTGTGTGCCGCAACCTGTGCACATGGACTTGAGGTCTGATTACAGTACCTGTAGTCTCCATTGTAGTTCCTTTTTTTGGTTTAACCAATTATATATTAAGGGTTTTATATTAAGTACCTTTAGTCTCCATTGTAGTTCCTTTTTTTTCTGTAACCAATTATATATGAAGGATTTATATAAGGTATCCCCAAAAGGAACTACAATGGAGACTACAGGTAATGTTTCATGGAGGGGCCTTCATAATTCGAACAGGGTGTTGGGGTATCTTATGGTATAAACACAGAAGGAATAGAGTAGCGGGATACTAATGATACTAGCTATTTGTATGTATTCCTACCCCTATGCTAGGGTTTCCGGCTGTGGGGCTTACCTAACGTCGTTCTCGTGCATGTGTGTGCGTGTGTCTCTGTCTGTCTCTGTGTGGGATTTAGTGGGTGGACTTCATCAAACGGCCCGAAATACTGATAAAGGCGGACTCTCTAACTCCAAAACTGAATCAGTGCACCCTGAAACCTTTTCAAGACTTCGAGACTTACGTACTGTATAGTCTAATTATAATGAGGAACCCCAAAATAGTATTGTTAATTCTTCAGGCTCCTATATTACTCCCCTTAGAAGAGAAGCAATAGACAAACGACTCAAAGGTACCGAAGATTCGTGCATGGGCTGGTAGCAAAACAGGGCTTTGAATGAACATGGCGCATAAGCCTTCTTTGCTGCAAGCGCCTTCAGGCGTTAAAGTAGTCTCAAGCGGATGAGTGGAGTTCTGAAGAGACCACTTTCAACCCATGAACCTTGAACCTAGAAGAAGAAACTCTTCTGTTAATCCTCAACCTCCAAATTGTAAACTTTAAACCGCACATCCTGTTGAACCAATACGTTGTCCTCAAAACCCCAAACCCGGCAAGCAGCATCCTCAAGCCCGCACCTGTCAGCCAAGCAACCGCCACTGCTAGGGGCTTCTTGAACCACACCTCCAACCTGCGAACCCGAAATTTTCAACCCCAATCGAATCTTTATTAAAAAAACCCATGCTTTTTGGCACCCTTAAGGGAGTTTTGCAACACTGAAATTCTCAACCCCTGGGCCTTCAGGATGTTGTACTTTAGGAGGCGCTTCTCTCTTCGGATGTTGCCCTGCCAGAGACACATTCGAAGCGTTGGGGTTACTGGGTTTGGGGCCCATGGGCCTAATTTAGGGTTTAGGGTTTAGGGTTTAGGGTTTAGGGTTTGATAAAGGCCAAATCGTGCTGGGATTCCCTATATATGGCTCTTAAGGACTGAGGCTATGGGGTTTCCAACTTTTGGGGCTTCTACCACAATAGGGTTTAGGGCCGAGGGCTCCTAGGGCTTAAAGGGTTTCAGGTTCAATGATAAAAAACCGAAACGTCAAGGCCCTGGGCCCAAGCCTCTAAACCCCCAGTTCTTGACTAATGAATCCTAAGCTCACAAAGGTCAAGTCGTAAAGTAATTAGGCCCTATTAACCCTAAAGCCTAAACTCTTAAAGGGGTCTGAACTACCACCTTCGAAATAGCTTTCTTGAGAGTTGGCTCTTGGGACGCATCCCGTTTCACAGTTTCGGGCCAAGACTTTTGGGTGAGTTTGGGGTTTAGGGTTTAGGATTTAGGGACTTGGGGCTTTGGATTGGGATGTTGAGGTTTCGGAGTTGAAGGAGGCACATAAGGTCTTCCGTTGGGCCACTGTTGGCCTTGTGTTCCGGCTTTCGGGCTTGAGATTCGATGAACGTAAATCACCGTGCTTGCAGAGACCTGCATGCAAGAATCCACAAAACAACGCAGAAGTCAATGCACAGAGACGTATAGGCTATAGTATACACACACGCTCTCATACCCATACATTGTGCATATGCAGCACATACATGTGCATAGACGCAGCTGCAGCAGCGTCTGCTGCTCCCCTGCTGCTGCAAGCTCCGTATAACGATGTTTTCCAGAGCTCGAAGAGGTTGAGCGTCCCGCATCCCGGAGAAGTACTCGAAACCCTAAACCCTAAATCAAACATTCAAACCTGAACCTGAAACCCAGAAACCCACGGCCTGTTCGCTCGGTCAGCTGTGATTTCACAGGGTTCAAAAACAAGGAGTCGAAGTCTGTCTCTCGTAGTCTTACAGATCCCCGAAAGAACCATAAGCAACTATGGGAAGTATGGTACCTCACTTATGCCTTGGCATGTTTAGACGGATCCTCATAACCTTGATCACGATTTGTACCCCACTCTGTTCAAGAATGAAAAGAGCCGGCCCCCACTTTCACGAATGAACATCGGCAGGGTAAAGCTAAGGTTTAGACCTTTTGCGCCAGACTTCCTACAAGAAAAAGATGAAACAAGACAAACGGTAAATCCTGGACATCAGTTGCTGCCTCGAGAAATGATTTGATGGCGAAGGCTTCCTCCTTGTCCAGCTTCTCTGAGTCCTCCGCAGGAGCCACTGAGACGAGGGTTCAGGGCGTGCGCTTGAAGGCCAAACGGTCGCACTCAAATCCTCAAATCACGGACCCAAAGCCGTAGTTAAACACCATAGTTGAACCCTACAAGCCCTAAAACCAAGACTCGAACCTTTCCCAAACACCAACCAACCCAGAATCCCAAAACCCAAGGCGCGTCAGGTCGGGATGCATCTCTACATGTCAACCCCAAATGGTGGTGGAGTCCCTCTATCTCATGTGCAGAATCACAGTAAAAAGTAAAAGGGGGGCGGGGGGGGTTAGGGTTTAGGGTTTAGGGGTTTAGGAGTGTTACTACAGTCTAGACTTTCCCAGCCCACTGGTCCTCGCGATCTTTCCGCGATCCCCAACTCGGCACAGGCGAGGCAATGTACTATAGCGGCGTTCATATTCAGAATAGGCCGGAATTCTTTTTAAGAGTTCTACAAGAGCTTAGGGTTTATAGGGCTTTATGGGATTCAATAACTAGAATAGGGTTCGCGAAGGGTTCTGAAGGGCAAAGACAGGGGTTCCCATAAGGCTTCCAGGATTCTAGAATGTATGGGCGTTATAGGGATTAGGCCAAGGTTTCGAGGAGTACTAGACCATGCTTCTTGAGTATACTTGAGTACGGGGCAGTCGCTTGCATATATATATATATATATGCATATATATAATATAATATAAATATATAATATATATATATACACATATATATATATATATATATATATATATGTATAATATATATATATATACACACATACAGTTTTCACTCTATCTGTATATATAGATACATACATACATTTATATGTGCTTATACATATATATGTGTATATTTATATATATATATACGGCAGACAGACACAAAGAGAGAGAGGGAGAGAGATCCGACTTAGGCGCTCATGGGGTGTAGGAGTTCAGGGGTGTACGTAGGCTTTACCCTAGTTTCAAGCAGCATTTCGCCTTGGCAACATGGGGGTTTCAGAAAAAAGGGGACCCTAATATAGTACCCTAAATAGTAGGATCCTTATTATAAGGACTTTAAAATAGGGTACCCTAATTTTCGGAAACTCCCACATAGTGACTCTGGATTCACAAGACTTGCTGGTCGAGGGTTCCTGTTTTGAATACGTACTTCTGGATCACAGTCTAGAGCTATGGAATACAGGCCTCGACCCTTCTCTGTCAGTGTTTTTGGCATGTAGCATGTGCTGATTAGAAAGGCCCTGGCACGTGAGGCTTATAGTTCATGCAAGATATACAAAAACTGAGGGCTTCGGGTGCAACATGAGGGACGGAATAATGAGACTAGGGCTTTTGGGGTGCTGGTTTTGCTAACATGAACCCTCAGGAGCGTGATAATTATTTAGGAAACTAGATCAAAAGTATCAAACTTCTCCAACGATTGCATCATCCGCAGTAATCAGCTCAAGCAGAACCATAATCGATCTCTGCATCGGGGCAGTGCTTGCCTACGCATCATCTGCTAGCCTACACAAGTTGAACCTATGCTCGGAAGGAAGATCTTGATCACAGCTTCGAAAATCATCCGAAGGCACCCCGCCTTACTTCGCAAAACTCTTGACCGAGGACTCCATTGATCTACAATCTGTCGGTCGTCTGAAAATGTCGGTTCCATGTGATCTCAAAGGCTCCTTCTTAATTTCATCGTCCTATGTGTAACCACCCTAAACCCCAAACCCAAAGACTCTCGAGTCTTGCTGCTTCGGGCTTGGGGATTTGAAGCGCAGATTGCGAGAGAGCCTATGGCCTTCAAGGCTGCACAAGCCTTAAATCTTAAAAACGTGTTCCAAGTAGGTGAATGGTTGAACCTTGCCGTTCAAGCTTTCGAGCGGGTGGAGATATGTGTGCCTCTGTGTGTGTATATGTACATATAGTATGCATACACACATTTATTGTACACATAGACATATATGCACATGTCTGTGCACAGTCGTGTGCGTATACATGGTTGTTGGGATCCACAACAAGTAAGGGATATTGGAGCCTCTTAGGCAAGCCTGAATCCTGTAAGATGCATAGACCCTATATATTCCATGAGCTGCATAACCCATAAGCCATAAAAGAACAACACTACAAAACCCATAAACCCTATAATGTAGAGTTCTTAATCATTAGAATAGGGTTTTGGGCTCCTTTATAGTATTATATATTTAGGCTTCTATATTAGGCGCTTCACCCTAAACCCTGACCCCCTAAACCCTCACCTAAGGGCCGAGCTCTTCGAGCAGCTCGCCAATCCGGACCACATTGTACTGGAAGGACTCATCGAGATCGTCTTTCTTCGGTTCGACCTGTTGGCTTTTCAAGCTTTAGGTCTTTTTTTAAGTGCAGTGGCCCTTTCTCCATAGCTTTAGGGTTCAGGGTTTAGGTTTTAAGATTTAGGGCTTAGGATAGGCTTATGGAAGTCTTCGTGTAAAAATGGGCTTTGTTCGGCGGAGGGTGATACGGTGCTATATATGAAGGCCGTATAATGATTAGGATAAACTTTTGGAGGGGCAAAAGGCAATTTCAACCCAAACATTGAGATTAATATCTGCGTATCACAGCCCGCCTGGAAAATCTATCGCCAGAGTGGAAGAATACATACATATATATATATA